CTGAGGCTGGTGTGCACGCCTGTCGATCGCTACATTTCTCCTGAAGAGCCACTTGAATCGCCTCTTCAAAGGTGCTTGACTGCACCCAGAACAGCTGAGTGCGCGATGGGCCCACACGAAGGCCGTCCATGAAAACAGTCATCTTGACGTGTTCGTTGAGTGGATTTCCCACTAGGGACGCCGTGAGCTCCCGTATACTCTTATGGACGTACTCGTGCAGCTCTCGCCTTCCTTTCTTGCATGAGAGGAAGTGCGAGGGCCGGCGGTACTCGTAGTTTGCCGGGAGGAACGCGGCTCGGAGCTGTTCGCACAGCTGAGCCCAGGAAGTGAAACATTCAGAGGGTGTTGCCGCCCGCGTGTACACCCAACTCTTAGCACCCCCGCTTAGGTTGGAGAGTGCAAAAGCAACGCGGAGCTGCTCGGTCGAGGTCAGAGCCGCGTCCATCGCGAGCTCTACCTCTCGAGCCGAAAAGTGAAGGTTATCACCTTGCTTTCCTTCGTAAGGCTTAACCTTCGGCCGTATTAACTTCAGGTGTGGCGGGTTTGTTTCCGCCGCCTGAGCCTGCAGGTTTCCGCACATGTGCGATGAGCCCCTGCTCGTAAGCTTCAAACGCATTGACCCGCTCGAGCTGCTCGGCCGGTGTTGACGCCGCCAGGCTGTGTAGGGCCTCCATCCCGGAGATGCCAGCCATCTTCCGAACCGACTCGAAATGTGAGTCGTTCAGATGGGAGAAGTCGCTCCTATCCATGGCCACGAGCTTCAGAGAGGTTCAGGTAGTCTACCCGCGTTGGCGTGGATTGACCACAAGTGCTACCAAGTGTGACGGGGTCACACAGCAGAGGAAGTCGGCTTCCGAGAGTATACAAACTCTCAGTGAACAGCAATTCACAGGTCCCCTTTGCCTAAGGAAGCGACGTGACCACCGTAAGGTAAGCTGTAAGCTGAATACATTTAAAGGTAGGCTAAGCTTGAGTTTATTTACAAATTATAAGTCACTTATAGAAACGCAAATGCCATCAGCCAATGGTTGGCCTCGGACGACTCTAATGACCATGTACTGTACCGGATATCCCGAAGTGTGACGTGTCACACTTCATGTTACATAGGGTACACTTGGGGTACGTACCCGTTACAGATATCTGTACAATTTTAGTAAAGTAGTATGTGTTCGTCTACAGGCATTTGAAGTTTACATGTATAGCTCAAACCCGAGAACAAAAAATGATGGCTTTTTTGGAAATGGCCTTATTTATTAATAGAAATGGCTCTTTATATTAATAGACTGTCCCATGCAACTACTGTAGTGTTCCGGTAATACTGACACTGTACATATAAAACCCGGCTTTGTCCACTTCATTTAAATGCATTCTGCAACATTATTTGTGTTCTTTTTTTTCTTTTTTGCTCAGCAAAATACAAGTGTGTCACAAAAGTTCACAATTAACAACGACAGTCGCAAAAGCTCTACTTACGAAGAAGACGCGTGCAAGCTCCAGACTTTCCAGCAGTCGGCTTCTGTGCGGTCGTTTCCGCGTTACAACTTCTCTCGGTCGGACTCGTAGGCGTGTTGCTGCTTGTCGAGCTCGTCTCGTCGCTATTCTCAGTAGCAGAGGCAGCAGCATCTCCATCTGCTGTAGTTTCAGCGTCGCCAGGATTCGCCGTTTGAGCGTCACTGCTCGCGGTCTGGGTAGCGCTGTCTGACCCTCTCGAGGCTTCCGTCTGCGAGCTGCTGATCTGCAGAGTCGCTCGTGGTGTCGGTGGTGCTGCTAGCAGCCGTCGGAGGCTCCTTCTCCAGACTACTCTCGCCCTGGACGCTCGCGTCCTTAGGACTACTACTCGACGTGTCCGAGGTCGCCGTGGATGCTCCCCATCCAGCAGCAATCCCGTCGTACGCGCGTTTTAGCACTAGCCCTGTCCCCTTGCCATTGGGTTGGTACCAAGGGAGAGGAGACGAGTTCTCCAGCCACGTGTACGAGTCATCGAAGTCTCAGATCGTCACACCGACACAATCTTTCACCTGCTGACACGCAGAGATGACGTTGATGTAGACTTGGACCTGCTGCTCTTGTTCATCCTCTGACGGCGTGGGAGAGCTCGTCTTGACGTCAAGCTCTGTATAGGCTACCTCCAGTCCTAGACCTGATCTGCAGTGTAGAAATGTGGAGTGAAGCTTCATCAAAAGGCGACATTACGATTATTATACAGTCGTGCACCTCCAATTCGGCAGGGCGGACCATATCAAGAGTGCCAGGGCATAAGTGCACAACGTAAAGCAAAAAACAAACGCAAATCCAGTACACTGATATTTGATTTGTTAATTCAGTACAAAATTTACGTTTAGGTTTGAGACGATGCCTGTGTGGCACCAACCGTTTCTAATAGTATTTGCAGATATGTTGTTCCAGCCTTCAGACAACCACTTCATGGCGGAGTAAACGTCGACCGGCGTGCAAGGAACACCCTTGTAGAACAGGTCCAGCTCCGCGGCTTGCTTCTTGTTCTGGTACTCATTCTTCAGGCACTTAATGATGCCCTGGTCCATGGGCTGCAGTACGGCAGTTGTATTAGGCGGGAGCTTGCGAATAGCAACATTGGATAGCTCAATAGAAGCGTCGTTGTGCGACGAAGCATTGTCAACAAGTAGTAGTACTTGTCGTTCTTCCAGCTGCATACGTTCATTTAGCGCCAAGAGCCAATCACAGTACTTTACCGTATTCATCCACGCCTTCGCCGTATTTGTGTAGGTAGCTCCAATTTCGACTAGAAGGTCGCGATTTTTTAGGGGGCGGGCACTTTAGACCGACCAATGAAGTGCAGCGGAAGCTGCTCCGTGCCATCGTCGTTGGTGGCAACGCACACGGTGATCCGGTGCTTGCTCTGCTTCCTCCTCTTCTCTTTTTTTGTTCACTGTTAGTGATCCTCGCGGTTCCCGGCGGTAGAAGAATGCGGTCTCGTCCATATTGAAGACGTCCCGGGGGTGGTATTCTGAAACAAGTGCTCGAAGATCTTTAAGCCCCTCTTCCACTGCTGCGTCGTCCACGGAGGCCCCCTCCCCATGTCGTAGCGAAAACCACAGCCCTGTGCGCTGCTGGAAGCGGTACAGCCACCCTCGACTAGGTGCATTGCCTCCGGGTAACTGTACTCCTTCACGCTTTGCAATCATTAGTACCGTAGAGCCTTGAATAGCTGCGTTTCCGTGCCAAGTCTTGAACTCGTCAATCTTCTGCATAATCTTGGTGTCAGACGCGCGAATTGCGGGCGCGCAATAGCTCTTCCGGTCGTGATAGGCATCTGGCAAGGCGGCAATGTCCGCCGACCGCTCAATAATACTCTGGACGGTAGTGCGCTTTACTGCTTGGGGGGTCTTAAAGCGCTCCGTTGCCCAACGAGCAAGTTCGGAGTGAGAGCATGCAGGATCTGACTTGTGCTTCTCGCACAAAGACTGCTTTTGTGCTAGAGTTAGGGACATGTAGGAGGAAGGGCGATATCCCATATTCTTTGGCGGTAAAAATCAAAGTGTGTGTTTGTATGAAGACGTCCGATCCAAAATTTAAAATCAGATCGATGCGGCGTGTCATCCCTCCGCGAGGAGGGGAAAACCGTTGAGGTTAATTGCTAGGGTGGTGATGGGCAAAGGTAATTGCGCATCCGATTCGCGTAATCATCAAATCTGGCAGGGTATCGACTGATACCGGTGCCGAATTGGAGGTGCACGACTGTACCGGTAGCCGGTTGTACCGGCTTGGTACCGGGCCGGTACCAAGCTTATCATAGCTTAGGGAACGTTTTACTGTACATGTTCAGTGTAGATAGTTGAGGTATGCAGAAGTCCCCCTCAATAAACGTAGGTGGTTTGATAAATTTGCATAGGTCAATCAATGTGATCTGGTGATTTGTTTTTATCCCTCAAATCCTTGTGATCCAATATCAAGGGATATATGAAGTGCATGAAACGCATATTATTATGGACCTCTGTACTCGTGGCGTAAATTTCTTAGCAAAGAGTATCCCATATCCGGTTACAGTACTACACCCCGTTTTCGCGGGGGTGGACCATATAGGATTTGCAAATAAATCAGACTTTAGCTGACAAATAAATGTTTATTTGGATCAAGAGTCATTTCATCCGGAAGTTTATCAAAGGTCTAAGGGCGCACAAACGGGGTGCAGTACTGTACTAACATTTACTGTTCCGGAGACTTCAACTGATCATTTACTGTTATTTTTGTTCCTTACAGAAAGTAGTGGACCAATTCAATTTTAGGGACTCAAATTTAAATCGTCTTAAAAAAAGCTAGTTTTGATAAATTCGGCAACCAATTAGAAGCGTGGTTTATATTTGCTAGTCAGAGTTACTCAACATCATCATCCAGGGCACCGTCTGCAGCTTGAATACTTCGAAGTATTATACATCTCAGCATACTACCTGTAAACTGAAGTATTATTCATGACATGTATTATTAATACATTGTAATAACACGGCTTCTCACACGCAGTAATTTCTGTACATAGCACATTCCTCCATGGTAAACACTCTTGGCACCAAGAATCGATGGAAAGAATTCACCCCAATGACATGCACTCAGGCACCGTAACAACGCATGCTCGAGCTCCATTTTGGGCTCACATTTGTCAAAGGCACAAAACAAATAATAAAACAAGCAGCAAGTAATTTGTGAAAATGTACATGTTCACTTGTGATTGACTGTCACCCATATTGCATAAGATACACTGAATTAGGACGATGTTTATCCTCAAAAATTCTACGCAAGCATTGCGTCTCTACAGTCGCCGTGAAAAATGCGTCCTACTGTAAGATTGTAAGGATACTAATTACCATAAATTATAGTACACTCCAGAAGCTAAACATAATTTTTACCCTTTATCACATTACATGTACACGTAGTATGACCTTCACGCAGAATTTCACTGACGTAGTAAGTTTTTTTGCTGTAATATAACGTGAATGGATCAGACAAATTCTGAAAACACTGATAACTTAAAACGGATACGCCTTCTTCAGTCTACTCGTAAATATGTCATCCTTCAATGGCATGACAGCCTTCGTGAAAGCCCAGCTGACGTCGAAATCGGCCTCACTCAAAGCATTTCGTGCCTCCTCCGACAGCTGCTCCCACGTAATAAGATCCTGCGTTTCGCCGGATTTTTCTGTAAGTTGAAGTCCCTGCTTGCTGCCCCAGAAACTCCAGTACCAGTCCAATTTCACTGTAGTGCCATCAACAACATACTTCGACTTCGGAGGCGAGCGCTTCATGTAACCTACCCCGGAAGACATGGACACGCCGAGGATGGTCGAGTTGTCTGGGTTCGGATTGTTTGTCCAGACGATAGCGTACGACCAGTAATGACGATGGCCAAATCGATATTTGTCGACGTATTGTCGGCTCTTGGGAAAGTACCAGGCGTACATGATGGCCCACTTACCCTTGTACCAGTCGGAGCGCGAGTAAACTTGTGAGCCTAAAGCAGAACCCTTGCAGTCTCCGTTGGGCCACCCGGCCCACTTCAAACCAGCGCTGATTGAGCCATCTTCTTGTACCGCAGGGTACGGGTGGCAGCCGTACGAGATATGGAGCTGAGGTTTGTACTTGACAGCAGACTTCTGCGACTCCATTGTTGGTTCAGGCTGGGCGAACGGCTGGACTGCGTCATGGTCGATCATGACGACATCGGCTGTAACAGTAGCCAGCGAGGCGACGACACCAAAAAGAAGAGCACGGAGGTTCATCAAGAGATCCTTGATCTGCGGTGGGTGCGATGTTTTTAGAAATGAGCAATGAGCTCCACGGCGAAGACTCTCCAGTCTGGAGTCCGGGGGAGACTGAGCGTGACCTCCAACAGATCGTGAACATGCATCTGACTGTAGTACATGTACCGGTACCGGTACACCGCACGATACCTACTTCGGGATTTGCGCATGAATGTCTGCCATTGGTCAATTTAACGTGCTTTGAATTGATGGACGACTGACATAAAACTAATTATTAAATGCAGTCCAAGTTTTTCCACGGCCACTTCGTAGTCGTAAGCTACACATAATATGTGTCAACAAGTGTATAATATACACTTGTTGACAACATTTTGAGTTTACAAGTTGTTGTCCTCAAAACTTCGTATCAGGTTTGTCCTTTGAGCAATATCAAGTTTACTCCATAGTAATATTCGGAAACGAACTTGGTGGCCCTCAATTATATCATGTACGACAGAATATAAGGTTTCTCAACATGAAGTACAGGTTTTCAAAATAATCTTGCAGCTGGCGTTGATTACTAGAGTTTGTAAACATTAATTTCTACTGTACAGTAGAAATGAAAGTCGACGCCATCCACCAAGACTCAGTCACTTCGCAATTAGCCCTCAGTGATCCCGCCTCAGCTGTGAAACATCTCAACTTGGCCGGACTGTTTATAATTATTGCTGCTGTTCTGCTGGCAAAGGTTGAACGAGCTATATGCCTCGAGCTGGCACGGACTACTCAAGTCCTTACCGTTCCTTCGCTAACCAACATAACGGTATCACTCCTATGAGGGTACTAGGACGGTCCGATGTTAACGACGAAGAGAGAGGCTTTTGGGATGACATAGTATCGAAACTTGCGCCCAAGATCAAGGGTCGAGCATCACAACCGGGTCAAGCAGCCCGTAGTAGATCAAATGAAGGTATATGAGTCTTAAGCGGCCGAAATGATGAAGCTTGGACATATTCAAAGTACCTTGGCAAGCTCAAATCTCGACAATCTGATGAATCAAATCAAACTTTTCAATTCCAAGAATTCCGAGATAAAGGTATCACTGGTTGGCACACTAGCCACCAAATATGGAGATGGAGCTGTAGCGATGGCGCTCGCGGCAGCTCAGAAGAGTGCACCATCAAAGTCAATTGCAGACCAGTTCCGAGCTCTACGGAATGAACAATTGAAGATGTGGAAAAGTGGAGGCAAATCTCTTGACAGTGTCTCCACGTGACTGAACTTTCGCAAAAACTTGGATCTCAGTGAAAATTCCATCTTCTGAACAGCTACGCTAGCCTCGTCAAGGCATCTGATGATACACTTCTCCGTGCCTTCATTAAGGGTGTTGGAGGTGAATAGAATATAGGGCCCGTGCTATACACTGCAAGGCGAAATCCTTCCACGCGGACGATAGCCAGTAATTGGGAACCTTTTTTATCACTAAGTGGACGAGTGAAGGTCAATTGCCGAAAAATATTCATCAGTGGCTGAAGCTCCACGGTAACGAGGACGACGCGTTCAGTGCTGATAACTTAAACAAAATCATGACGTACGTGAAGAAATTTGATGAGAAGTATCCGCGCCAACAAAAACCAGCGATCGATCTGTATACGAGTGCTTTTGAAGACACTGCTGTGTTGACGAAGCTCAATGTGGCAGTGGAAAACCCAGCCACTAGAGATGTAGCGAAGAAGCTGCAGGCGTAGCAGTTGAAGGGTTGGATTAACAGCGAAAAGTCTGTTGACGATGTGCTCACAAAACTCAAGATTAACATAAAAGAACCCTCATCGATTATCAGCCAGAAGATTGACGTGATTGAAGAGCTAGCTCGTTAAGGTGATGGGTGCTAATCCAAGTGTGGTCAAGACGCTGACTGAGACGGTTGGTGGTAAGAGAATGCTTGCGAAGATTCTGGAGAGCACGGGAGCTACCACGTTGCAGAAGAAGCAATTTGCGTCGTGGATGGATGATGGCGTTTCACCGAAGGACCTTATGACGAAGATCTACAAGGAGAGTGCTGCCTCGGCTTCTGTTGAGGAGAACAAGGCTGCCCATAAGCTCACGGCGTTCTAACGAAGTCAGAAAGCGGGTGATTGAGCAAAGTCATTGTTCTCAGGTAGCTGATCACCTGCGTAGTTTACCAATCTACTTATTGAAAAGCAATTCAGTACACAATGCAATGATGCCGATCCCGTGTTGGGAGCGGTGTGTCACCAGAGAGGACATGGGACGTAGCGGATGCACAGCTACGTGTTGACTAACGCTGGCAAGTCACAAGACGACCACCGTGGACCAAAGGAGTCTTATTGCCGCGGCAGACATCGTCCCGAAATTGACCTACATCGCGCAGCATGCCTGGCCAGCGGTGGCCACAATTAACAGGTTCGCGAAGAAAATTCGCAACTACGTGTGGCATGCAGATTTTGCGGAGGAGGCGCATGGCACACGTGCTTGGCTGGACGCGGACTTGGCTGCGCTCGACCGGACCAGTGGAGGTCTTGGGGTACCCAATTTGCGGGCGGAGGTGCTTGCGATGGCGGCATCTACAGTAGCGAGATGGGCGTCTACCGGCACTCGGCTGCTACACATCGCTGGAGATGTGCTACATGGAAAGGGATCGACGCGGCAGCCCCCCAAGGTTTGGATTACCCCCAACGCTCTAAGCCCGACCCCAGGCGGGTCCAGGGTGCTATCTTCAATGTAGAGCATAGGGCGGCAATTGGTGACTGCTGCGGCGGCTCGCAGCTCCACCCCGAGAGAGCCTGTATCGTGACCGCACTACGCACCCTGGCGCTTGACTTTGGACTACTCACTATCACGTGGGAGCTCGATGCTTACCGGGTGGATGGCTCGGCTCAGTCTACCGGACCGCCTCAGCCACGCTGGAACAGTCCGAAGGCGCTCAACGCTTGGAATGGCTGCCAAAAGCGGGTCTTGCCGACCTACACCTCCATCACGAAGGCGGAGAGCTACTACCGGCTGCCCATGCGATACCCAGAGCGCCTGCGCGCGGACAGATAGCTGACGTCATGTCATGGACGCTCGAGAATTATGGTGTACTGTGGGTCCACCCTACCAAGCCACGATGGAGGGGGGGCGAGGGGCGTATCGGGCTCCGGGACTTCCTAGTGGTGCTTATCACCAACTTCCCGACGATACTGGCGCAGCGAGAGGAGAGTCACGAGGTCCGGATGGCGGCTAGCCCACGGGATCACCCGATCACGGCGACAGTTAGCACTCACGGCCAGCTAGTCATCAGTACCAGAGCCGCAGGCCCAGCCTGCAGAATTCAAGTGGACAGTCAGCCCGCCATGGTCTCGCAGTTACAGCGGGTTGCGCAACCGGACGTGCACATACTCAACGTTCATCCACACATCCATCTCTCGCGCAGGGTCAGCCTCTGGGCAGCGATCCGCAGGAGGCGGCTTCCCAGGCGACACTACAAGGCCTATGTGCAGCGAGCGGCCAGCAGCAGGGTCCGCTCGGTGGAAAAGCTGAGGGCGAAGCAATGGACGGAAAACAGTACGCATGCTGCGACGGGCTTACCCGCGCTGGAGTGGAAGCGCATCCGTCGCATCCTTGGGCTTGGCCCCTGGGGAGAGCAGATCATCTATCGGCTCAAAGCTCGGGCCTTCTCCTTGTACGACGTCCGGAATGGGCGTTTGGGGTGCCCACATCCTCACTGCTGCCATGAAGCGGATGTCGACCTAGTCCACATTTTCTGGACTTGCCCGGCTGCGCGCTCCCTGCGAGGAACATTCTCAACCCCCTGGACGCGGCTCGGTCTCAACGAGAGCGATGTGGAAAAGGCTTGCTTTGGCCTGGAACTACCAGTCGTGCCGGACGCCGTGTGGGAAGCGGTTGCACACCACAAGCCTGTCAAGGGAGACAAGACTGCGGACTTGGAGGAGGCCGTCACTGCCTTGGCAGAGGGGTGTTGGCGACTCGGGGCAGCGCTATACTTTCATGCCGTTTGGCGATGGAGGGTGTAGTGCTTTGATGAAACCAACGACGTGACAGCTGCCCGCCATCGACTTTTGCTTGCCAACCGCTTACGCCACGGCTACAGGAACATGCACTTGTATGTGCCGCCGTCCGGACGTATGCGAGAGCTGGCGGCAGCTGCAGGGATTGTTACCAGGGCTCTATGGAGTTCGTGGCGTGGTTCGCATCAAGTGGTGCAGCCTGACGTTCCGGCGTGCAGATACCTTCTCTTCTTTGATGGGGGCTCGAGAGGCAACCCAGGTCCAGGCGGCTCAGGAGCTGTTGTTGTACGGTTAACGACGGATGGAGGTCCGTACCAGATCGTCTGGGCTGGAAGTATGTCCTATGCTGCTAGCACAACGACCAACAACGTGGCCGAAAAACATGGGCTTGCTCGTTGGGATCAAGGCCTGCAAGCAGTACGGCTTCACGCCACTGCACGTGGTGGGCGACAGCGCGATGATCATTACGCAGCCACCGGAAACCGCCGCGCGCACGACATTTACGGCCGCTGTATTGGCGCTGCCGACGATCGCTTGCCGGCCTCCAGGTGCAGACATGGCAGCACCACTTGAGGGCGCACAACAAGATGGCTGATCTGCTGGCGAATCGAGCGATGGATTCACTGCGGAGTACTCAACTAAGGCTGGACATGGCTCTGCTGGCACGCCGAAATGGCGCGCGCTAGTGAATCTTGCGGGTGGAGACATAAGCCACTGGATCTTGAACAACACGGAGGTGAATTCCCCGGGAGCCACAACTGCCACACTTTAGGGCATGGCGGCAGCATCGGGGAATGGTTATTAGGCCACTGCCGGTGCACAGCTGTAGGATAATTGAGAGGCAGCCTACAGGACGGACATAGGAAGTCGTTAGTGACTAGAACTAAGTGACATCAATGTACCTCACTGAGAAACGAAACGAAACGAATGATGCCGATCCATCGGTGAAAAAAAAGGTGGCCACGGGTTGTTCTCGCATGCATACAGCTGATTATATAGTGGCAGGGATCCTAAAAAAGCAAATATTGATTAATATTTCATTAACACATTTAGAAATTAATCTCAAATCTACTCTATCCAGGTCGGTCATTCCGTACCAACTACCCAGCAGAACGGAGACATAGCACGGTAATTAACATGCTGTCGCCGATTACGCCCTTCGGTGCAAGATGTTTAAGCTGTAGTGTGACGGGGTCACACAGCACCTTGCGCTAGAGGACGTTAGCTTCCGAGAGTATACAAACTCTCAGTGAACGGCAGTTCACAGGTCCCCTCTTTATCTATTTAAGGTAGAATGTAAACTGAGTATATTTATAGGTAGATAAAGCTTGGGTTTAATACAAACTATAAGTCACCTATAGAAATGCAATGTCACCAGCCAATGGTTGGCTTAGGACGACCTTGGTACCTTGTACCAAATATCCCGGAGTGTGACGTGTCACACTTCATGTAACTAGGGGTACACTTAGGGCTACGTACCCCGTTACATCCTCCCCCACTTAGGTTCGGTTTACCGACCAATCAGAATGAAGAAATGTTCGTCACAAACTTTCATTCTCAAAGTCGAAAACCATCGACTTGGCCGCGCGAGCGCGGCGGAGGCTCACTTCACAGTTAGAGCCTCGAGTAGCAGTCCGTGCGCTCTTCATCTTGGTCTCCACTTCGACCGTTAACCATGCTTCGTGGCACTGCAAAGAGCGGTGCGAAGACACGCTCCAAGGCTGCGGCCGGTAAGGCGCAAGCCAAGAGCACTAAGCCTCACGGCAAAGGCTTGGCACTCAAGGAGGCTACTCAGGTGGTCTCCGAGGCGATCGATTCCTCGGGTGACGCGGCTGTGGGCAAGCGAACAAGCAAGCGCCGCAGTCCGTCGCCCTCGGCCTCAGACAATCGTCCGAACCCTCGGTTCGTGGAACGTGAGCTCAACTCTGGCAGTGAGGACGAAGCCGAGTCCGAGAGCACGCACGATGCTCCTGTGGGCTCTGCGGGGGGGCACAGCCCAGTGCCCAGCGAGCACAAGGACGACAGCGTGCAGCCGCTCGCTAGTGATCAAGGTGATCACGGTCCCAGAACGTCTGTGTGCTCTGCGAGTCCGGCCGTCAAGGCTAAGGGCACTCCCAAAGCCGGTGGCGATGAGAAAGAGAAACCTCGCAAACGTCTCTCACTTGCCGAGGGTATTGCGCGTGCTAAGGCCTCTAAAGCCGAAGGGGCCAAGCCATCTAAGAAGCGTACAGCTTCTAAGTCTTCACTCCGCGAGGAGACTCAACACTCCTGTCAGAGTATATTCGACTCTCTCGGATGAAGAGGAGGAGAAGGAGGAGGAGGAGGAGGAGGAGGAGGAGGAGGAGAAGGGTGCTATCGCTGAGCCCCGGGAGGTCTCGAATGACCTCGACCAGCAGCAGGAGGACTTCCAAGCTTCCCGGCGTGTGCGTGGGGGTTCGGTGGTGGCACCCGTCAGCCAGGGAGCTGCCATCAACTCGCGAGGGTATTGGCCTCCCGAGGAGAGCTCTGGGGCGGACCTCTTCTTAGATCTTCTCGTCGCTCCTCGTGGCCTTGTGGGCGGCCACACTTCTAGGGACATCTACGAACGTACCCTTGTTCAGAAAGAACAGTTGTTCGTTGACAACATGGAGGCTGCTCGGTGTGTGCTTCTCGCGCCACATCGCATCCCTCTCAAGGACTTCACGACTTGTCGCAAAAATCCCGAGACCCGGGGTGGTCTCTATCCTCGTTGGGGATATCCCTGGGTTCTGCCCGAGAACTGTCCCGCCTGGAGTTCTTGTGAGGACATGTTCTGCCCGAGAACTGTCCCGCCTGGAGTTCTTGTGAGGACATGTTCTGGGCTTGGGTTGAGCATCTCAAGTACTCATTCACGTAGTTACGGGAGCTATACGAAGATCAGCTGCTGTCCCGCATCCTGAACCAGCGTAATCTTCGTGTGAGGTTTGCCCACATGGTCAGCAAGCGCATGCTGCCAAGGGACATCCTGAAGCGCGCGGCTTACAGCGCTCATGATGAGCGCGAGTACGGAGTGTTTTCAACGTCCGCACTCCGTTCGGGCAAGAAGCCCCGGACTACCTACGAAGCTGCCGCCGCTTCTGCTCCTAGATTGCGACAGCCTTCGGGCAGTTAATCAGGAGTCGTTCAATCGGCTCCCACGAATTATCGGAGTGGGCATAACACCTGCACTTCACGAGGAGCTTTCGCTTACTGCGACGCCGCTGCTCCTGGAGGATCCGCTCCACGTGGAAGTGGACTTCTTCATTCCGGTCAAGCAGGGGCGGAGGTGCCCACGTATGATTATGAGTACTCGGCGACTTCTGAGCGCGTCTCTCGTCCGAGTGCTTCTCCTGCGGGTCCGACACAGGGCCGTGAGGTTGACCGCCTCCGTCAACGTGTTCTCGTGCTTGCGATTGCACTTGGCCTTGGGGCTGGTGGTGGTGCTGCCGCCCAGGCCGGGAAACAGGGCGAGCTCGCTCGTCTAGCGGGCCGCCTGGACCTGTTGGAGCGAGAGGTCGCGAGCCTGCACCTGCGGGTAGATCGCCGGGCCTCTTCGTCCGATCTGGACGAGGCCTTTCGCATGATTCGACGGATCGAGGCTCTGTTGCCACGTCCGGAGCCGCCTTCGACGCACTCCCAAGCGTTCGCGTATGGTGCGTACCCGGCGTACCCAGCGTACTCGGCGTATGGCGCCGGGGTCCGTTCGTACGAAGCCCCTCTGGCGTACGGTCTTGACCGCAGCCTTGCCGTTCCGACCGAGGCTTGGGTGCCTGTTCCGACGCCCTCGTCGACGTATGTGACCGGCCCTCGCTTCGAGGAGATGGGTCAAGGGGGACAGCGAGTCAGCAACCCCCTGCGGGTCAAAGTACCGCTTAAGACGTCCAAGATAGAACGTCGGGTGCGTCGTCATTGACTTTGGCAGGTCGATGGTGTACGACACACCATGTCTGGCCAGGACTGCAGATGGTTCGATGAAGCGGTGCTTCATCATCTGCCGACAGAGCTGACAGTGTCAAGAGGTAGGCTCCTCATGTCTAGCAACACTAAGTCTCCCACCTTAAATGCACTTAAGTTTCCTCTTCCATGTTTGTCGGAGTACTCCTTTTGTTTATCCTGGGCCGCTTCCATGGCATCGCGGACCCTGCTGACAACGCTCAGCTTGGTATCCATAAAGGATTCCACTTATTTCCGCAGCGAAACTGGTCTCACATCCGAGACCTGGGAGGAAAGGGCTTTCCGAGCCTCTCCCCCACTTAGAATAGAGGAGTCAGTGTCTCCTCGAAGAGTGAGTGGTACTCTGGGGTGACGGAAGCCGTTCAAGTAGAACGGCGTGAGCCCCGTGGACGCGTGCACCGCGTTGTTGAGCGCAAACTCAACAACTGGAAGCTGCGTCGACCACGTACGTGGTGCTGCCGCGCACACACTGCGCAGAGTGTCCTCGAGCACTTGATTGACGCACTCTGTCTGGCCGACTGACTGCGGATGGTCCGCAGTGGACATCTGCAGACGAGTTCCCAGTAAAGGGAACAGCGTTTTCCAAAACGCAGCAGTGAACCGCGGGTCTCGGTCCGAGACAATCGTCTCCGGGAGACCGTGATAGCGGAACACGCCATCGACGAACAACCTTGCGGTTTGTTCGCCCGTAACAGTGACGGGAACTGGAGCAAGATGTACCATCTTGCTCAGCCGACACACGAACACCAAAATTCCGGTGTTGCCGTGTCCGTCGGCGGGAAGCCCAAAGATGAAGTCAAGACTCGTCGACTTCCAACAGTCAGCCGGTACGGGCAGGATCTGTAGTGGAGCCGACGAGTGCCCTGCGAGTTTGACCCGCTGACATGTTTCGCATGTCTTAACGTACCGGGCGACCCACTTGTACATGTGGGTCCGCCAGAAGGACTGAGAGATCGACAGAAAGGTCTTCTCGCGGCCCAAGTGGCCGCTGGAGGGCGCGTCGTGCGCCTCCGCAAGGATGTCGAGCTTCAGATTCTCGTCGTTGGGTACGACCACCCGTGGGGGCTCATTGGGCTCCATCCGGTAATAGAGGAGGCCATCCTTCAACTCACATCGGTGGAGCCGGGAGCGCTGTCGCGACGAAAGCCAGTCGGACTTCGCGCTCATTCCTGCCGTGAGGAACTTGACGATAGGCGCGACAGCCTCATCGACCCGATACGCCATGCGTATCCGATCATATAGATCCGTTGTCACCCGTGTGATATGGGCCAACTCATAGTCAGGACGCCGAGAGAGGGCGTCCGCAAGCACGTTGAGCTTGCCCGGCTTGTACTCGACGCGGAAGCTGAATTCCGCGAAGAAGGACAGCCACCTCGCCATTCTTTGGGTGAAGTGAGGCGAGTTAGTCGCCGTCCTCAAGGACGCGTGGTCTGTGTAGATCACGAAGGGCCTCGAGCCCAGAAGGTGAACACGAAACTTCCCAAGGGCATATTTCATTGCCAGGAGCTCCTTGTCGTGGACAGGGTAGTTCAGCTCGGCTGCTTTGAGCTGCCTGGACTGGAACGAGATGACTCGTTCGCGTCCGGCCGTCTCGGCCTGCAGCAATGCACACCCGATGTCGTAGTCGGAGGCATCGCAGACGAC